TCTCTCTCTCTCTCTCTCTGGATACTTACATTCTTTGCTGACCATGCTCTCCAGTACTTTCTGGGTCTGGCCTGAAGTTGGGCCAGGAATCTTGCTTGCAGTGCCACCTATTGGTGAGAAATCACCACAACATCAGTGAGTTACAACCACTTCCCTGAAGGCCTGCATGTAATGTGATATTATTCACCATGGCAGCTGCAAATACTGAAATCACAAAGGGGAATATTGATATATTTAACAGCAATGCCAGCTATCGTATAACAACATGCAACAACATCCTGGACAGTCTGTAGTACATCAGGCAGGATTGTTGTCACAATTCAAAAAAAAATACTTGATATGATGTTGATGGTGTCTTTATCAACAAGTGTGTGGTTATGTCTGTGTGCCCCTACCTTGCACTGCATTGACCTGGCTAACATTTTCCAGCATCTCAGCCATAGCCACCTTCTTCTTCCTGTCTGGGTTGAGTTTCCAGTACATCATCATAGCGGCTTTACGCACTGCCAGCTCAAACTTACTCTCTGTTGACAACTTGCGCATGTCAGCCTCATTCTCTGGAGTGACTCCTGGTACAAGATGACAAGACAAGGAGCAGTTAAGGAACTGCAAACACAAATACAAACATGCACATGCATGCATTGAAGTCTATGACAATAACCCTTTTTCTGGATCCAACAGCGCTGGAGTGCTCTTGCTGCACCTTTTCTTCCCTGTTTAGCTGCTTTAATCAGCCAATTAACACCAAGACGATTATTTAGCTCCGTGTCCTTCTCTTCAGCAAGAATCAAGTAGTGCTGACCCAGCTGAAAAACAGAAAAGAGGAAGAGGAGAGGAGATTAATTCAGCTTTAGTGGTAAAATCAGACATGAAGTTCACCCTGAGGTTTAAATTGCATGCACATATTTATAATATATTATAAACTAGTTTGTGAAATAATGCAATTTATGCATGGGAAACCTTCACATTATTACATTAATATTGATGATTACTTCATAGTTAATTTACTTACTTAGCTTATTACTTCATAAATGGTTTACATATTTAATGTGATTATATAAGATAAGATTGTATTTTATATTGTTATATTACATTTATATTGCTATTGCGTTATAAGTTGTATTTGTGCTTGTATCGATCAGTGCTTATATTTTTGTAACATTATAATTAATTGAATGCTGACCAATATTATTTACCATCTACCAGACAATGAAAAAGTAGAAAGGCTACCGTGGTGATAGTGAGCAAAGCAAAGGATAGGACCATGTGGCTCAGCATCAGTGGTGAGAGCCTTGTCTAGATCTTCTACAGTATTATGCATTTGCATTTTGATTTAGAGGTCGATTGACCCAAACAAACAAATAAATAGATATAGAGATAGATGTATCTGAGGTTTCTGCCTCCAACTCAATACAAAGCATTGAAAGTAGTTCCTAGAAAAACAGTTTATAATGACCCACTGATGACAGACGAATATAGGCTCCATAATTCACTGCCCCTGTAGTCTCCATCACAGGCTAATTACAAGGGGTAGCAGAGGCCCCAGTGGCATATCAAGTGACTGTTTTCTAATCTTAACTTTCATTTCATAACTTCCCTCTCTCACAGTTATCATCCAATTTATTTGCAAAGGGGTTAGACGTGTCTTCACTGAAGTGCCTCAGCATTAATATATTCCTGTCTGTTTCTATGATAGATACAATAAGCATATAATCTCATAAATTAAATGGACAGTGCTGTATATAGCTATATACTACTACTAATGATGTACATAAAAGCAACTACACTCATACCGAAAAACTCAATAGTGATTCCCTGTGTATGACCTGTGTTTAAGCTGTAGGTGTATAGCATCATAATTAGTATAGGTATATCCAACCACTGAACCGATGGAGTCACATGTTTCGACATGTTCCCTTACATGCAACCCCTGTGGTTATTTAGGTGCTTCATATTTGCAAATACATAAAGTATAGGAAAGTTCAAGTCGTATCATCAGCCACTTAGGAATTTACCCTTTCAGAGCTGGAGGGTCTTAAATGCAAAGTCTGGTCTCATCTTCCATGTCTAGCCTCCCCCCCTTTTCTCCTGCCAGCACCTTATTTTTTACATTTGTACTTCAATAAATGTTAATATTTCATTACTATTTTTACAAATTCTGTTTGGTGCTGCAATGCACTGTAATAGTCTTCATAATTATTTGTATGTGTGACAATATCTTGGTGTATCATATTGAAAGCCTGGGATCATCTTCCAAGTGGCCAAAAATAGACACACATGCTCACAACCAGACTGAGTCAACCAGCAGGACTGAAAACAATGCCAAGTGCCAGTATGTGTGCATGTGCTTTCACTCACCCGGGTTTGAGCTCTGGCATCACCGGCTTTGGCCTTTTCTTCTAACTGCTCAACAGACAAATCTTCCTCTGGTTCTTCATCTGGAGGAGAGGAGATTCCTTAAATATACACATATCCATCTCGATCAATCAAAAACTGCTCTCTGTCGATACACAATAGCCTTGCTTCCAAACTTGCATAGAACAGTGTGTTTTTAACACATTTTGTGTTCACAGCCAGCGGTGAACAGATCCCACTTGACATATATCTTGTAACATGAGAATAACAAGAAGTCAGAGGTGGAGTAGATGTGAGAGTGTGTGCATTTTAAACATGTCTGTGTATATGTCTGTCTTCACAGATAGCTATCCTGTGACAAGACCCCAATGTTCTGTCAACACCCTACCCATGCAGCTCCTATGTCACACCAATACTTGTCGCGACTGCATAAAGTTTCATTACTGTTACTTTCTCCCCTGTGTCCTTTAAGCAAAGGAGTTCAGCTTCTTTGCCTGTAGCCGTATTTCATATGTCTCGTTTGTTTATTGCACTTGCAGCAGCTCTTTAACGTAATGAATTAAAATTTAAATTAGCAATCAATAATATCAGTTTCTCTGAAGGAATTAAAAATAATAAACTTAAAGATATTTCAGTAATTGTAAAATGTAATTGGTTCATAGATTGCTGACAAATGGTTAATATGTAGCAACAGAGCTAAGCATGTTCATTCATTACCACTAAAAACAAAGTACGGCTAAGATTGACGGGAATGTCATCTGTTTTGCAGGTATTTGGCGATACACAAAAGTACTGTACGAATGACGCGCTGGATGAAATGTTCAGTCACAAAAAGATCATCAAAGGTTCAACAATTCATCCAGAGGGAGGCAGTCATGTACCAAATTCCATGCCATGGAATTTACTTAAAACAACAAGTGCAAACCTCAAGGCTGTCGCACGGCGAAAACTCAGGGGATCACCAATAGCATTAGGATTTATCGTCTAGAGACAATGACCATCTGCACAAAATGTCATGTCAATCCATCTGATAGTTGTTGAGTTATTTCAGTTTGGACCAAAGTGGTGACCGACTGACCATCAGGCCAACATTGCCACCCAAGAGTCTCGCTCCTAGCATGACTAAAAAGGTTCACCGTGGCATGTGTTGCAGGCATGTCAGAAAGGAAGGCAAGTTGCTGCAAAACTATCTGTCTGCATGTTTACTACTCTTAACCTACCACTTGTACAGTAAAGGAGGGGTGGTAATGTAATCTCGTCTCTGTGGAATTTCTTTACACACAAAACCAGTAATCTAACAAGCAGGGATTCAATTGTTTAATTAAGTTAAACCCTCCAATAATGAAAATACCTCTATTTTATTCATTTATATTTTTGTATGGTACCTTTTATTCAGCCCAAGGTAGCTCACAAAACAGCATTTTAATGAGGAAAAGTTAGCTAGAGCAAAGAGATTTGTTTATCCATGTGCAGGGTTACTCTGCTACACATGGAAAGACATTCCAAACCAGCACAAGGCTCATCACCTCAATACAGCATTGACTCTGTGGTCTGTGGACTTCAGCTTAGGGCCATTCACAATGTGCCATTTAAAAACTCAAAATAAAGGCCTTCTTACCATCCTCTTCATCAGCGGCATCCTCCTCGGCTTTCCTAAGTCTTTCCTGTATTATCACCCGCCTGGCCATGGAGGCAAAGGTGCGTTTCATGGGGGCAGCGGAAGAAGAAGGGGAATCTGATGGAGTGTTACAGGCTAAGCTATCTGAAGCAGAAGAGGCAGAAGCGAGCTGGGAAAAGGATGAAATTTGGGGGATTTGAGGGGTAGAGCAGTTAGGAGAGGTTACATGGGTTCTGTTGGGAGCAGGAGAGGAGGGTTTAGCAGAGACAGTTTCAGATGCGGGTTTAGAGGACACAGCTGGAGACTTTGACCCCTCTGAAGAAAGAGGGGAATCCATCGGTTTAGAGATGGTTTCTGTGGAGGATGGAAATTTGGTGGGTTGAGAGGAAGAAGCAGGGATGTTATTAGAGACGAGTGAAGGAGGAATATGTGTGGGGGAGGGAAGAGTGGCTCCATCCAGGACAGGGCATGACCCTTGGGTGCTGACAGCAGTTGGAGTTGATGGGATATCCTTCTCCATGTTACCTGGAATAAAAAAGTGTGTAAGTAATTTATCATGTCACTAATGATAACCATAGGGTGCAGCAAAAATATCGAGGTCTTTTCTAATAGTGGGTCATCAGTGAAGACACAACTAGATGGAGAGAAATTTGAGAGCCTTTCCTCTAGCTATGTTACGACTAAAATATGACACCTTGCCTTTGAAAGAGAGAGAGACAGAGAGAGAGAGAGAGAGAGAGTCTTGATAATGAAAGAAAGATCTATAAAACTCTGCTCTACTCAATTTGAGTCAACATTGTGAAAGTACAGATAATAATAGGATAGCTATTGCAATAACAACACAATTAAATAAAACAAAGTGGCAAATGAAAGCAGGAACATACTGTTAACCTAATGGTGGGATCTAAGATTTACTCAAGTACCACAATTTTTAGTACTTTAGTATTTTTTATTAGTAGTATTTATACATCTACTCTATTACATCTCAGAAAGAAATTCATAAATCAATAAATCAATATTTACCATGCAAAACATATGATCAGTTTAAACAACCTGATGCCTTCTTATACATTAAACTGCCGAATATTAGTAGTAAAAATTAGCTATACCTTGACAACATTAAAATGCTCTTTATATACACGGATCAATAATAATATTCCAAATAATATAGAATATATATTTAACTGAGTGTGGTCATTTTGCATAAGGAGTACTTTTACTTTTGATACTTAATACTTAAGATTTTGACTGCAGCACTTTTACTTGTAATGGACTATTTTCCTACTGTGGTATGCAGGACCTACTTTTTCTTAAATAAAAGATCATCATAGTCCTTCCAACACTCCCTAATATTTCAACTTTGAAAGGGGAATATGTAGCGGTAACATTAAATCAGTTTTATAATCGGTATTACTGTAATTATTATTCTTATATGACCTCTGAAATACCTGGAGTGTGGCTCCTCCTGCACATGCGGACAGTGAATGTAATGTGCGATTATAAGGGAGCTCTGGACTTGATGTCAAGTCAATTCTTAACATTAAGCTTCAGTAAGAGAGCACTCAGTAAAACAACATAAAGAAACCTTACTTGGTGGATAAATGAGACAGTTTCTTCAGGATAGAAAAGTCAACTGTCCTCCTGAGTTTAAAAGTTGTGTCTGTAGTCCATGCTGAACTCCATGTACTCCACACAGCTCCGCGAAACCAGAGACGCACACCGACTGCGCTCAAACTCTCATGTGTCTGGACTAACAACGGCACAACTTTATGGCCGCCCTCTTGAAATAGACTGGCACCTAATAGGTGGAAATAAACGCCCATCAAATGGCCAACGTATCTGATTGGTTACTAGTTTACTTAGTTTTCTCAATGTAATATACACTTTGAAATAGAGGGTGGTTGATATCCTGTGGGGCTGCATGTGTAGTTATTTCAAGTTAATGGTTGCACCATAAGAAGATTACGGTGCCAAGTCGAAAGCTATGCAGGCCTCATCTTAATCGAGTCTGACTCTCTCCCATATGGCACCAGTCGGCAACAAGACCGTGGACAATGTAATCATCTATTCTTATTGGTCACTGTAACAATGATAAGTCACTTTGAGTTTAGTTCCTGCTTAATGGATCATCGATTAATGAACGTTGACAGGCACTTCATACATGATTATCACAATATGACATAATCACAATACAATTACACCAGGTTGATCACTGTAACAGCTTTTAATGAGAACACGTAGCATATTCTGGTTTCAGAGGCTCATCAAATGTATCTGCACTTAAATGCTCTTTTCCAGTGCACTTTATCAAATTTGTTGGCATATAAATGCACATAAAGTAACTGTGGGGTAACAATAATTAACTGATGATCCATTAAGCATACATTAATCACATTCACTCATAGTGACTTGATTATTGTATTTGTGATACATCTTGCATTAATTGCGTTTGATCACCATGAGTCATTAATTAGTTATAAGCATATGATTGTCTTACCTATTGCTATTATTATTATTAGTAGTAGTATTATTATTTAGTATTACTACTACTACTAATAATAATTATTGTTAACATTATATTGATAATAATCATGTCACGTGTAGGCCTGCTTCCAGATACATGTATTCCACATAGTGCCAAACTGTGTTATATGTGAACAGCGACTACATTTGTGTGTTGGTGCATTGTTCCTCTGGGAGCTGTCCACCTGCTCGAGTACTGAAAAGACAGTTCCCAGTGTTTCTCTCTCTCTCTCTCTCTCTCTCTCTCTCTCTCTCGCTCGCCATAGGCCAATGAGAATGACAGTTTGTTGCTGGCTGGAAACACTGTCGGCTCACCATCAGCAAACATCCCAGTGAGCAGGACCAGGTCACTGACCTCGGCCCAGTCCGAGTTAAAAAGCACCTGCTGCAGCCTGGAGTCGTACCTGCAGCTTGCTCTCAGTCTCGGGCTTGTGTCTTGCAATAGACCAGCCCCCCCAGTTAAACCCTGTCTCACAACAGCAGTTAACCCCTGAAACGCACCATTTAACAATCTGTCTATCCCTCCGAGGTGGGTTAGAGATGACACAGTATCCTGGCTTTAATCCGCTGATGGTGGACCTGCTCACGCGCAGCGGCCCCCCCCCCCACATTATAGGACGGAAAGAAAGAGGGATGGTGGAAAGACATGCCTTCCTTTTATACGTGTGGTCACTAACTATAGCTCCTTACAATCAAACTAGTTCACACTGACACTCCTCTTATTGAAAAACTAAGAGCACTGCATCATTTCACATTGTTTGTGTGTGTGTGTGTGTAGTTGTGTGTGTGAAGAAGCAGCCCGGAGAGAGCAGCTTTTCACAGTTCACAGAGCGCGCTTGAGAGGCGGGGCTGTCTGTGACCCGGTTTAGACGTGAAATCAGCTAGACTTCTGTCTCCATCGTTTCAGATTCGGGGATAGTCTTCGTCTCCAGTGAAAGCCACAGCAATGTCTGACTGCAGAAGGCAGTGGAACAGGGAGGATGAGCTGCCGGTCTACCTGGCGGGACCGATCAGCACCGGGCCGAACCAAAGGAAAAGCTTCGGGATGTTCAGCTCCGTGGAGGGGGCGTTTGAAAGCAAGACCATAGACTTCGAAAATTACGCGGTGGGGAGGAAAGGGAGCCGCACCCCGAGAAGCGGGAGTCGGGAAAGGGTCTTGGATACAGGTCACCCTATCGAAAAGACGCCCAGCCAGGTCCGGGAGGGGTCCCTGACTGACTCGCCCGGGGAGACAGACGACGGACGCCCCGGTGTTAAGATCGGATATTCATCCGGGAAGGAAAGCCCGAATTGGAAGGTTGTGCTGACGATTTTATTTTTTTGTCTCTGTGTGGCTTTTTGGTTAAATTCTGATGGCTGTGTCATGTGTGAGCGTGCTTCCTGATAAATAAAATAGCCTTACACATCAAGTGCTGTAACAAAAAACGAACCACCGCTGCTGGGAACTGTTGGCCTATATAAAGAAAGAACTAAAACTCGCCATATTCATTTCTAACGCCTGTGGAGTTTTTATTCTGAGGCAAATGCATCAGTCTGCATAAATGATGAACTTTTGTGCTGCAATGCAGTTTGGCCATTTCGGTTTACGTCTACGCAGCTCAAAGTATATTCTCCAAAAATACACAAAGGCACGTCGACACACTGACGCTGTCATCTGTAGCGCTGAACCGGACAGCGACACGCACCGCGCGGTATTGTTTTTGTGATTTCACGTGAGCTGTTTGCGCGCGCGCCTGTCTGGGGGCGTGAGGCGCACAGTCTCTTCTCTGGGCCGTGAACGCCTCAGGCCAGACGCTCGCGCACGCACAGGATCGTCACCTGTCTCTCACAGTGCGCGCTCCACGCACCCTGACTCAGCCGTACGGCATCATCGCTCTTCCTCTCTCACACACGGAAACACTAACACACACCGAGGGGGAGGCAGAAGGGGGCGCAGAGCGCAGCGCAGGGCGCCGGTGTCATCGCAGCCCACTTCTAAGTTGACTGCCCGGGGGCAGAGCGACGGAGAGACAACATGTCTGGCACCAGTTACCAGGGGAAGAACAGCATCCCCCATCTGACGGTAAGCGACCCGGCCTGGTCAGCGGCGGCGTTGGCATGAGAAGCTCTCCGCTTGTATGCAAATCCCTGCTGCCAGTGCCGGCAGAGAGGGGATTAAAATCTTAGTGAGGCAGCATAGAGCAGAAGGGCCCTTTTCTGTTCCTCCTGGGTGGAAACCAGGACGGAGAGGTGTCGATTCTCAATGTCCTATGTGTCAAATCGAGCGCGTATTCTCGCTCAGGGTTGGACAGTGTTGTGTAATCTCGCCGCCTGTCAGAGGGATTAAGTCGGTTGACGTGACGGTCGAACCTACGCACGCACAGGAAATAATGGCTTGCATTAAAACAACACTACAACGGTGTGAGGGTGGAATTGTGCAAAGATGCATCCTTCAGCTGAAGCATTCTGCAGAAAGCCTCCTCTATCGTATCCAGAGCATTATTAAATGCCAAATGAATCCAAATGCAACATATAATTAACATACCCAAGCATGGTGCGGACAGAAAATTGGCAACAGACTGTGTTCCTTTTTGTTAAGCAACCTTATTGGCCAAAGATGCTGAGGATTCAGCGGGGCTGTCAGCTTCCGTCATCTCGCATGATGGGTGATCACCGGTTGCCATGGAAACCTAACATCTTCCGAATGCTGTTGCCATGCGCTCTGCATGGTGGTAGAGGGTGTGGATGCATGCTCGACTGAGAAGAACGTGCTTGTTTTACACCTGCTTCTAAATATTCAGCATTTAATTGTACTTTATTATCATACAGCACTAACATTAGCTTCTGTGAGACCCCACCCATATACGGCACTTGTGAGGCTCCGCATTTCTTTCCACCCTCATCAACTGTGTCATAATATTTCTATAAGGTCATGGATTACATAACTGATTGTGCAATATATCAAAATGTCAAGACTGAATTCAACCCCTCTTGTACCTCTCTCTCCCTCCCTCCCTCCCTCCCTCCCTCTCTCTCTCTCTGTGCTTCTCCCCTGCAGAGTGAAAGGCTGTTGATCAAAGGAGGGCGGGTGGTGAATGATGACCAGTCTTTCTTTGCAGATGTCTACATTGAGGATGGGCTCATCAAGTGCGTATATAAGGAGCCAATTATGTCAAAGAACCGCAGAGGCATACACATATTGCAGTCGATAATGATTTCACTTTCTTATTCCCTTTATGCCCTTTTCTATCTCCTCATCCTTCACCAACCCCTTTTCATTCACACCCATATTCCCGCTGTCGTCTCTGCACATCCTCATTCCTGCTCTTTGCCTCCCTTTCACCCACCCCTTCTTTGTCGCTATGCGCATCTGATCCTTGGCAGGCAGGTGGGGGAGAATCTTGTCGTACCTGGGGGTGTCAAGGTGATCGAGGTTAATGGCCGCATGGTGATACCAGGGGGGATAGATGTGAACACCTGCCTGATGAAGCCTTACCTGGGCACACACCCTGTTGATGATTTCCTCCAGGGCACCAAGGCTGCACTTGCCGGGGGCACCACCATGATCAGTGAGTGTGGATGCCACAGTGCATATAGTGTAACCACATATTCATTCAAGTACTGAGAAATATTGATCACATTCTGTCCATCTTAACCTATGACCCCTCCCACCTTTCAGTTGACCATGTGACCCCCCAGCCTGGGGACAGTCTGCTGGATGCGTTTGAGTGCTGGCAGGAGGCTGCGGATAAGAAGGCATGTTGCGATTACTCCCTGCACGTAGACATCCCCCAGTGGAATGAAACTGTTAAAGATGAGTTGGAGCTCCTGGTGCACGAGAAAGGTACATCATTTTCTTCTTACTCCATGATATTTCAGAGCTGTGGTCACTGCTGTAATACTTCATGTTCTCATGTTTATCCCTGTTTTGGACCCGTTTCACAAGAACAATAGGGACTGATTTAGAAACAATTTGGCCCAGTGTTGAATCCTCTTATAGTGAAGTCACAGCGGAAATCCATTGTCCTCATTATGGTGCTGTCATGGCGGCAGTGTACAAATTCTGCTTGTAATCTGTTTTAAGTAAAAAAAATAAAAATAAATCACTTTTCTTTTGGGGAAGCTACAACATAAAGCAGTAACTGAGCCAAGGCAGCCGCCTGTGTGATCAATTTCTTTCAGAAATAAAGTTGACAGTTGTAATGCTTTGACGCAGATGCCAGACATAAACATGCTCTGCAGACAAGGTTGTAGATCAGGTTCTGTATTTTGTAACTTGAAGTTTGCCCTTTATCTTGACTGTATTTATTACATTTCATGATGCATTATTTCGGCTACACTCACACAGCCGAGCTCCCCTTTATTACCTTTTTGTCATGAATACATAAATCATTTCCACTGTTGTCAGGTATCAACTCTTTCCAAGTGTACATGGCATATAAGGACGTGTACCAGATGTCAGATTCTGAGGTATGTTTCATACTCACTTATACTGCACTAATGCATTAATGACTAATTTCTTCGTGTCTTTCTGCTTTCCTTTCACCATTAATACCTTTTTTGTTCTTTGGACTCATCTCTCCCTCAGTTGTATGAGGCTTTCTCCTTCCTGAAGCAGCTGGGTGCTGTGGTGTTAGTTCATGCTGAAAATGGAGACCTTATTGCTCAGGTAAGTGCTGCAAAACTACTTCTAAAGAAGTCTGACTCACTGTTTATCTCTTAGTGGCAACTGGCAACCCATACCTCTTGTTACACCATCACAACCAGTTTCTTTACTCAGCCTCCAGACACAGCAGTTTACTGTGATCAAAGAACTAACAATATATAATGGCTGAACTAAATCACCACCAATTTTAAGTTATCTTTATAGCCCCATGCAACCTCCACTGCAGTTGAAAGATATTCTTGTCACATAACTCCCCAGCTCTCATAGAGAGAGAGAGAGAGAGA